GGGTCGGGTGGCGACGGGCTGTGGTGATGGTTGAGGGGAAGGGAGGGAGGGAGGAGGAAATAAGGGGAAATAAGAAAACGACGAATTTTCGAATATCAATGATAATTATGGCCTAGGTGAAATTTAGTCTTAGATAAAACGGAAATGTTCGTGAACGAACGAAATATAAAAAGGAGAAGAAATGGGTCTCGATAAAGATAAAGGAAAAGGAGTGATAAAGAGAATCGAAAAATATCAGAGATATTATTTGATCGGACACAAATATATCAAACGGGAGAATAAAGAAAGGAAAATACCGTGCAATAATAGATTCCTTTAGTAGACGTCGAAAAATCTAGCTCTTGTTCCGTACCTAAGAACGATCAGGTCTCATGAAGGTATCCCGAAGGATTAAATATTTTTCTCTCGCCTGAGGATACATCGACGAATCGCGCCTTTTGTCCCAGCTATCTTGTTGCTCGTCGACGAGCGTAACGTTTTCTCATCCAAGTGTCGCCGCATACCGTATCTTTTGTTTTGTACGTACACCTTACAGTCGAACGTCTTCTCGTTCTTTCTTCCTCGCGATATCTTCTGCTTCAACCCTTTCTCTCTCTCTCTCTCTCTCTCTCTCTCTCTCTCTCTTTCTCTCTCTCTCTCTCTCTCTCTTTCTCTCTCTCTCTCTCTCTCGCTTTCTCTTACTCTTTATCTCTTTCTCTCTCTCTCTCTGTCTCTGTCTCGTTTCTTTTTGCACCAGACAGATAGACACATGTACAAACACAGAGGTAAAGTGTGTACACCTCCGAGCGATCCCTTTCTTTCTTCTTTTTCTTTCTTTGTTTTCTCTTTTCCTTCGTTTCTTTTCTTTTTCTTTTTCTTTTTCTTCTTCTTCTTCTTCTTCTTTTTTTCTTTTTCTTTCCTCCCACACAATGAAAAAAGAAGTAAGTCAGAAACGAGGTGCCAACGGTAAGAAAGCCCGTCATGACGTCGCTCGAACGATGCTCTCTTCCGGATAGGTCGTCTCCGTTTCTGGAATAGACGTTCACAGCTTCCGTTTGACCGACGATCGCATCGAAAGCAGTACCCCTTCTTCTCTCTATCACCTTGTCCATACCCACGAATATCCCTGACTCTTTTTACAGAAAAGCAACGGGACCCATCGCAAGCTCTCTCTCTTTCTCTCTCTCTCTCTCTCTCTCTCTCTCTCTTTCTCTTCCCTTAGACTTCGTCTTCTTTTTCTTTTTCTTCTTCTTCTTCTTCGCCCATGACAAAACATTCTGTGAACTATCACGCGATTCGGTCACTGGCATATGCGTATTTACATAACGATGATGTCGATGTCCTTTCTAAGGGCATACATTCTTTTCTTTTTTTATCTTCCTCTTTGCGTCGTTCTTTCTTCCTCCTTTTTTCCTCTTCTTCTTTTTTCTTTTTTTTTTTTTTTTTTTTTTTTTTTTTTCTTGAACGAGACAACAACACGACGTTGCTCTCGTTTTAAATACGATTTCTCAACTTTTCAACGAAACGAGAAAAATCGATTCACCGTGCACCTTTGCTATAAGTAAGTATAGTGAGTAAGTACTACGTACCTTGTATATTCTTTACTTGCTGAAAAGACACACCAAGTCTTTCTTCCATGAAGACTTTTCGTTCATTAAAATTTCAAATGTATTCGGGAAGTCGAAACCTTCTCTTTCGACGGTAATGAAGTAAGGAGAAAAAAGAGAGGTCCGTGTTTAATCAATATCTTCCATTCTCGAGGCGAACACGCCAAGGAAAAACGCGTTTGTCGGAGGAAACGAAATACACGGCCATCTTCTTAATAATTCTCTCTCGACGTGATCGATAATTTGGATCTTCCGTAAATCTTTTTACCTTTTTCGTCGTCGAATTTATTAATTCGATGCTAATACTCTCAGACTTTTCAACGTACTTATTTCTTCGACGGTAATACGAATAAAGTGCGATTAAAGAAAAAAAAAGAAAAAAAAAAAAGAGAGAGAGAGAAGGAAAAGGATAATAGAGAAGAGATTTCGAAATTCAATTCCGTTCGAGAAAAAAATTTCCACTCGAGCTGTTTCCAAAAAAGAACAAAAATCCTCAGAAACGATACTATTCGATAATAGTGATACATTTGGTATCACAAAAGGGTTGGATTTTCATGGAAAGCGATCTAAATGTACACTTTCCAAAAATAGTACGGAATGGAAAGATTGTTGATTACGTATAATCGAATAAATTGCAATTGATAGATTCGATTATCGGAAGAATGAATTTAGTTGTTATGAAAACAAATAATTGTGAAATTGGAAGAATGACATATATATACGAAACGCGTAACGTGTAATTTACTACCGTATAATTGTTATATTGTACATAAAATTGTATCTTCTATTACTCTTCCTCCATTATTATCTATTATTATTTTTTTATTCCATTATATTTAAATATGCATGTCTTTTTCGTTGATATCTATGGAACGAGAAAACGAAATTGGAATCATTCTCACGTTCATTTGTGCTAATCATTTAATTTGAATAATATTTTATCATATTTTATTCGGATATAATTATTCATGGAACAGTCATCACTTCATTATTTCATTGCATTGATATGATTTTATTGCCATGTTATTTAAATTTTACTTATTAACATAATATACTTCGTATCAAAATTTCTTTTGTCGTTTTTGAAAAATATATCGCAAAATATGATTTTTTCCTCGTAAAAAGTTTAATACAGTTAATCGAATTTACTTCCTTTCTAAATGATTGAAATTAATTTACTTTCATAATTATAAAAACTACATAGATAGATAGATATTTATATACGCATATCAATACTTAAACTATGAAATATTATAGGATGTAAATGAACATGTTACCTCACTATTTATGAAATATTGGTGCGAAACAGTATATATGTATAAATAAATCGTCATTTTATTTTCAGTTCGAAAGTTTCCTTTCGATAAACCACGAACGTTAACGATACCCTTCCTTTGAACTTTTACCTAACAAAAGACAACGACGAGAGATAAATCAAATGGATAGATGTCAAAGGTTAGGAATATTTTATTCGGTGAGAATGTGCGGAAGAAGGACTAAACTTTTTACGTGATATCACAGAAAATATATAAGCAGACAGAAAAGGTACGAGGGATGTTGAAGAAAAAGAAAAAGAAGAAGACGAAGACGAAAACGAAGAAGAAGAAGAAGAAGAAGAAGAAGAAGAAGAAGAATAAGAAAAAGAAGAATAAAGAGGAATGATAAAATCGATATCTCGATCTCAGTTAAGCCGTTTTATAGGTGATGCCGTAGATTTAAAGAAGAAGGTCGCAATTCTTCCCTCTCTTTTCTTTATTTCACCGACGAAGCTAGTGATTAAACGAAGAAGCGAGCTGCAATGTTGGGATAGGTGTACCAGCGAAAGAGCCAGAGAAAGATGAAGGATGATGGGTGGGATGGGCAAGAAAGAAGAGAAGTAGATGAGAATAGGAGGGAAGAGAGAATATGAGGGCGGAACAAGAGAGGTAGACACAAAAGAGAGCTGGTAGCGTATCCTCCTCGAGTCGCGGCTTCCTCCGCCTCTCTCTCTCTCTCTCTCTCTCTTTCTCTCGTTTGCTTACTCGTTCTTTCACTCTTTCGCTATCCATATCTCTTTCCCTGTCCTTTGTTCACGGCACACCGTCGGCCAAACGGAAATAAAGAAAAGTCAAAATGAATATCGTAAGGAAGCGAGTCGTCCGAGAACGAACAATAAACGAAAAATACAAGGCACCAGTTCTCATCTCGTGACTTGACGAACGCGTTCCGATGATAGTTCACATAAATCTAAAAATTCGTCGAATAGATTGGAAAAATATATGCATTTGAACATACGAAAGATATATACACTTACGTACTTATACGTGTATCATGGAATATCGAGAAAAATAGATATACTAATTACATACATACATATATCGATAACATTTGTGGATTTAAATAAATAAGGACGTTCCTTTTCAAAACAATTGTTCAATCTTTTCATTTCAGACTTTTGGTTGAAAAGATAAAGTCTTTAAAATATAAATATATACCGTCATGAATTTTCCAAGAAATCGTATAGGTCAATGTAAGTCGTATAGATATCACGTGAGCTTCTTTTATTTATACAGAAATATATTCTTTCGTAGCTTAGAATGAAAAAGACATTTAACAACGATTGTTATAGAGAGCTCTCGGACTTCTTTTATCATTTAATAGTTCGTTTCGAAGGAATTTTCAATATACGTTACTTGTTACAAATGATTTCTTACAAAAATGGACCACGTATGAATGGTAAAAACTCATCGACTTTACTCATACGCAGCGAGTGCATCTTTTCAGCGTGATTGAAAAAAGGAAAGAGGAAAGAAAAAAAAAAGAAAAAGAAGAAAAATTCGGTCTCTTTCATATCCATATTTCTATCATTCTGGTTTATTATTTCTCTTTTTAGGCGGCACTTTTTAGTTATCTCACAGAAATTGGAATCGACAGATAGCAGAAATCCAATTTACGATCCGGCCAACCGGAATCGGACGATATGAAATTTTGGATAACTCTTGCGTATAATTTCGCCTGGGATGAGTTTATTCGTTTCCAAAAGATAAATTTTTTCAATCAAATACTAGTGACAAAAGAAAAAGAGAAGGAGAGAGAAAGAGAGAGAGAGAGAGAGAGAGAGAGAGAGAGAGAGAGAGATCGCAAAAAAGTATTGCGTTCGACGGAGCGAAACTCATAAACGATCTATCAAAATTAATCATTCAATACCTCGTAGTTAAGAATGAACGTAAAATAAAACGGAAATTTTCCTTATGAAATTGCATGCGAATGAGTTGATTGGTAGAATACGTTTTTTCAAAAGATTTCTACGAACGATATTATTGTTGCAACCCTTTAAATGGATTTTCTCTTTGTTTCAATCACTCTCTTTCTCGTTCTCTTTGTTACTCTCAGAAGTATTCGGTGTCATTAGAAAAAAATATTTATCGAACATACCACCAATGGTAACTGCTGCACACGACGATGTTCTCCTTGTTTCAACAATTCCCACGTCTCGTCTTGTCGCAACAATTCTCAGCAGCTAGCATCGATGTGCAGGCAGGCAAATAGACAAGTTGGTGGAGTCACCATCGCTACGGTTTTCAGGCGTGTTCTCCTGAGCGAACAGAAAGGAAGAGACTGACAGAGATGTAAAGAGAAAGAAAAAGAAAGAGAGAGAGAGAGAGAGAGAGAGAGAGAGAGAGAAAAGAGAGGAAAATAAAGGTAGACAACGGACGAGCATGCATTCGTAAGCGGCTGAGTTATTTCGACTAGCTACCACCCTTTATCCCCACCCTAATCCCTACTATTACTACCACTATCACTATCACTACTACTATTTTCTAGCATCACCGTCGTTTTCAAAGTTTAGGTTTTGTTGGCGTTCTCGAGATTTTCGACGTAAACGCCCAAGCGCAACTGTATCGTTTCGCACAGCATTGTTTATTAATTCTTGGAATTTTCACCTCCAGAACTGCGATTTATCTACTTGAGGAATAATTCATTTTAAACGCATCCTCGTCCTTTTCCTCGTCTTTGTCTTTATCATCGTTGTCGTTGGCATCATTGTCGTCGTCGTCGTCGTCGTCGTCGTCGTCGTCGTCGTCGTCGTCGTCGTGACGAAGCGTCTAAACTAATTTTCTCTCTCTTTTTTTTCTCTCTCTCTTTTTCTCCGTAGGAAAATTATTTCAACGATGTAATTTCGCGAATGGCCGATATCGTTTTTTTCTTATTATTTTTCAGACAAATATGTACGTTGGTATATATTAATTTCGCATATATGTTTATTTTATTATTCAATATCTATTCTTTACTTTTAATTGTTGTTATTATTAATGTTTAAATTACATATTTACTGATTTATTACGCGATGTTTCATCAATAGATATCGTGTAAATAGGTATGCAATTTCTCGTTTGGTTTATTTGCACATTGACCACGAAATAATAATTTCGAATAACCAAGAATATACCGTATGTTATTAATATAAAGGGTAAATGATTTTAAACATTCTGTTGAAATGCCGTTGGAAAATGATAAATAATATGATAAAATGTTTGTATAATGTTTATTATTACAAAAATGAGAGAGAATATCCTTCGACTTTTATTTGTTATCATCTGTGTCATACCTTTCATTAACAATTTCAATGATATTTCGATATCATCTTAAATAGATTATTCAGGATATATATATATATATATACATATATATATATATATATATATAGAGAGAGAGAGAGAGAGAGAGAGACGGAGAATAATAGATGGGTATTATAGATCGACACTTGCTTTAACATTCTGCAACGAGTTCTCTCGGGACCGAATAGATATCCCTATCCATGATGCGTTAACACATTTGAATATTTATTCGAAATTATGGTCGATCCTTCACGAAAGATTCAATCCGTTTATTAGTCTTAAAGATAATGACCGATAACGATTACGTATGGTTTAAGGATTCGATCTCAAAATGAAAAGTCCAATGAAAAAAAAAGCTACTTCGACAATCCAAAGACCAATCGAGAAAATGTCACTCATCTAATCGGCTAGTCCGTGAGCGCGATCGTAATCTCGAAAAGCTAGTTGCATCTTGAAACAGCCTCGAGCTGTTTGTACGTATGTGTGTATACGTAATGTATATAGCAAGAAGAACGACATGAAGCCGAGAGTCACGCCACTACCAACGGTAGTAACACGGCATTTCCTCGGTCCCATATAAACGTATCTTGTTCCTTGAGGCGTCTAGTCAACGAGATAAATCTCGTCGGTAAACTTGAAACAGTTCCACTAGCACGTTATTAACGAATTTTCGGAGAAGAGATTGGGACCCCATTAGAAATGATACCCTGGACGATAAAACACATTGATATATTTCATTTTACGCATCTTATCTACGTTTTGGTTCCTACGTACGTTCGTAGGATACCGCACTCCATTAATACATTCTCGGATTCCCTCTGAAAAAAAAAAAAAAGAAAGAAAAAATAGAAAGGAAGAAAGGAAAAGAAAAAAAAACACATTGCAAAAAAAAAACAAAAGAAAAGAAAGAAAAAAGAAAAAGAAAATCTATCTTCGCGAAATACTCTCGCCTTTCGTGAGCTAGAGATTATTTACCCAGCCTCGAGAGTGGAGCGGTCGAAATTTGGAAAAGCGGAGACAGAGTCGAGGAAAGCAAGGCCGAGCTAGGTACCTTGTTCGGCTTGTTTACACATTGGCGGTAAGTCAAGAGGCACTTTCGGCTGCTAGGGCGCCGAGTAATCGACTTTTCTGACCCAAAAAGTCAAAAGGGGTTGCATTTACTATCACCCTGTCGCCCTCTCTTCATTTTCCTTCTTTCTATCTTTATCAGCCAATTCTTCAACTCTTTTTACTCCTCTTACTCTTCTCCTTCCATACTGAATTTCACCGTTTTGTTTGCCAATTCTCTCTCTCTCTCTCTTTCTCTCTCTCTATCTATCACTATTTCTCTCTATCTCTTTCTACTATCCTTACTCTTTTCCATTGGCATTTCCAGCAAAGTCTCTGGCTCATCGGTACTGCTTGGTTAGATTCGATGAGACTCGAATCTACCATGGTATACTTTAAATCGGGCACTGACCGAAAATTTCAATATTCCGGCTCTTTTACCGAGAAAAAGAAAGAAAGAAATGTGCCCAAGAGAAAAAGACAAATACATAAATAGATAGCAAAGGTAAAAAGAATATATATATATATATATAGATATTTTTTACATTGTATACGTATATTGTATATACATGCACATTTTATATATATATATACACATATATATATATATATATATATATATATATATATATATTGCATATGCGATGATTCGTAGATACCGTAAAAGAGAAAAAGGAAATAGAGGAAGGAAAAGATACTGTGAAAAGCTGGATGGAAAGCGCTTTTCGTAACGCAACGCGGGGCTTCCGGATCAGGTGACGCTACAACCTACTAGCATTTCAAACTCGTCTGAGTCGATCTCAAAATATAATAAAATTCGAAAAAGAAAATGGTGCGATGAAAGATTACTCGAATGAACGAGTTATTCGATTAATCGTGGAGCATTGTGATTGATGTTAACAGTTTTCGTTATTTTCCAACATAATTAATTTTTTTTAATTTTCTACATTGTTAAAAAAAAAGAAATAATAATAATAATAATAATAATAAAAACATTTCTGTAACCAATGCTTCTCAATTAATTATAATAATTTAATGAATTTTATGAAACTTTGACGGGCGAATACTCATTAAAATTCGAACTAATGAGAATTCACTATTCGTGAGATACGAAAAGGGTCGATTTCCATCGAGAATATATTGTTTACTTAAGAAAGGATAAAGAGGTCAAATAGCTGATCTCTATGTAAAAGAATAAATTAGCTGAAGTCACGTACATAATATTATCGAATCAAATACAACCAATTCATGAGGATTTCTTTTCTATTGCTTTGAAATTGGAATATCATTTGATGCGAATAAACGAGCAAGATCACTTATTTATCTTCCTTACTTTTTTCAACTTTCTTTTTTGAAGATTAATTATCGAACCTCTTTCAAAAAGTCCGAATCCTCAAAGGTTGGTATATAACGACTTCGTGGAAACGTTGAACGATAGCGTACACTTTATTATTTTCTGTTTGGAACGTAGATACTTGAACAGACAGATTACGGTAATAGTTCACGTTTATCGATGTCGTCAGCTATTAGTCGGAGACTCCGTAAGAAAAGAAAAAAAAAAAAAAAGAAAAAAATAAAAAAAAAAAAAATAAAAAAAAATAAATAAATAAAGGACAAGAGAAAAAGAAGAATTAAGGAAAGGGACGTAAAGATGATCGAGAGGAAGCGATTTAGCTGTTATTAACGTCGAACTACTTGTTTTCTAATTAAACGTATCTCTCCTTGATAGCTCTCAGTTTGCTCCTTCAAATTTTCTCGTTCGTCGTAACGTTAAAAAGAAAATCGATCGTAGTACGATCATCTTTTTATTTTAGAAAATATCTATAAAATGATTCCCTCCGCCCCTAGTAAGTGTATTGCTTCGTGACATTAATTCGAAAGCATCTAATATATTATTAAGGTAATCGATTGATTATAATTAATCATGTTCCGGATTTAAGCGACGAGATTAAATTTGATCGATCGTAACAAATGTAAATATATATTCAAACGATAGAAAATATGATGTAACAATGATAGCAATTATTATTATTATTATTAACATCGTATCTATGATTTGAGTGGAAACCATCGACTTCGATATCGGAAATTATTAAAATATACTATACTAAAATATTAATATACGCAATAAACTATTTGTTTTTTATTCTTTAATAACGTATGGCGATATTTATTGCTATTTTTTTTTTTTTTTTTTTTACTGTTAACCCGAAAAAAAGAAATGAAACGAAAAAATGAAGACGAAATGATTCATCATAAAGTTCACCTACGCAAAACCCATATATTTCATAAAACAAAAATGCAGATGTAAACGGTAGAGTTAAACGAGAGAAAGAAGGAACATAAAGATCTCTCTTTTCTTTTTTGTCATATTTTTCGGGCGGACGTGGCCATGCGCAACGTCGTTTTCTTGAAATTCAAATCGCACCTACCGTGGGAAAGTAATAAAGGGGCGCTTTCATCAGCGTCGTAGACGTCTGTGCATGGCAAAAGAGCTCTTAATACCACGAACGAAGCCTCACCATCAGCGCGCCTCCTTCACCAACGCCGACAGCTTCTGTGTTTTCTACCGACTTTTATATAAACGCTGGCCTCTTCTTCTTTCCCTCTTCCTTTCTTCCTTTCCCTTTCCCTTATCCCATCTTTCCACCTTCCCCGCCACTCTATCCAGCCGCCTTCTCTTCGTCCGTTAACGGTTGCTCTTCTTCCTTCTTCCATCAAGCAACCCTTCCACCATCATCCATCCATCTTTCTTCTCCCTTCCGCGCTTGCTCGCAGTTCGTTTTGTTGCCTCTATTCTTCGACTTAATTACTTGGTCGCTGTGATTATTCCTACTAATTTGTTTGCACCAGTCGTCGCAAGAAATTAAGTTCGTGCGCGATAGAAAATAATTCTCATCCGTACCTCGATCGTTATAAAGTTTTTTTTTTCTTTTTTTTTTCTTTTTCATTTAATTTCAACGTTCGCAAATACATTGTAAGAGATCCTTCTTTAAGAATATTTAACGCGTAATCTATCAGGATGATTTTCAATGTTTTTCATAAACGCATTTGTTATTTATTCCATTCTCAAGTCGATGATCCACCATTTGGTAAGAATGAAAGGAACATAAATGAAAAAAAAAAAAAAGAAAGAAAATAAAATAAAAGAAAATAAAAAAAAAAGACAAAGAAGAGATAAATTAAGCCGTGTTATTCAAAAGCATTATTGATTTTCTGATAAGCTTCTAACAAAATCTAGCACATATATGCATACGCTACGAGAACCGCAGAATAATTTTGTAATTTCGTCGATTCCGCATATAACGAGGAGAGCTCAAAGAGTACCACAATAAATTCGCATTCGTATAGTAGCATCCCAACTTGATTTTGTAATTCGCAGTTTCACAGTTACGTCCATTTTATATATGTTGTACGTAGGTGGATGTATCCGTGATATTCCAGGATTCCTTCATTTTAGAATGCCATAAATTAGCATCATTTATCGTCGGCTTCTCCACAGAGGTACGCCCTTTCAGCACGAACGTTTCAACGAGCATTGCAATTTCCCCCAAGTCAATTTTACGATGTACAAAGTCGAATTTTGTGATTTCTCCAACGACGTAATATATTTACGGGGATAAGGAATAAAGGAAAATCAAGAAAAAGTCGTAAGAAAGTTGAGTCAAACGAGAAACAAGTCATGACTTTAGGGACATTTTGGCTATAGTAGTTGGAGTCACTTGCGCAAAGCATGAAGCACAACTTAAATCAAGTTTATCCTCTGATATCGAATTTTGCTAGAGGTGAGTTTCCCCGGAGCAGTGTTTAAGATCAACGCTTGTACCGTTATCTCTTTGGAAAGTACATCGTTTGACCTATCGCAACTACATACCCGAAAGGACTAACGTATAATTTCAAAATATGCCCCATTTAATTAAACGTCTCTTTCGATCCTAACCTTTTACTTACACCGCGTACATTATCGTTACCATTATCATTATCTATTATTTCTCTCTAGACTTCATTTTCATGCCAAAAACATGCTCTAATTTAAATTTGTAGAATTACCTTGTGATATCTAAACGTTCCTCGTCTTAATTAGCGCGTTACGATCCAGAATATTCCGTTCGTTCGTTAACCAACGCCGGAAGTCATCTCTAATTCAGTTAGAGAATGCTCCTTGAATGAAAAATAAGGTGTCTCAACTTGAAAATGTTCCAAGATTGCCATCTTAACCGTGTATATAGCATTAATTTTACCATGGTCTCTACTTCCGTCTCTGTTCCATGTCCAACTGGTATCATAGGAAACTTCTATACCGGCGAACGAACGATCCCTTCTTCGACTCGATGGGTAAGCTATCACTTGGCTATCGTCAATCCTGAATTTCAATGTGAACACAATTACCATCCGATATTTCTATGGTTCTTTTACGTGTCTTGGATACTAGTTCCTATTCATTCCGAAGACAGCTGTATCGTTTGAGTAATCCTCTTTACCTTATATTTCTGATGTAATAATATTTTAATAGCTCTTAAGATAAAATTGTATTACGAAACGAGAGTACGACAAAACGAATAGTTCGACATTATTCGCGCGATTATCTTTTATTTCTTTCCTCTTTTTGCTTTTTTATCATATACATTGTGAAAAATAAAAAAAGAAAAAAAGAGAAATAATAATTATGACAATTATAATTATTTATCATTTTATCATTTATGTGTGTCCATATGTCATACTTTTGAATCGTCATTTTATAGTTCTATTCATATCGTTTATTCATAGCATTAATTTTGTTCATGGGTAAAAAATTATTCTCTTTTATGATTATCTCATTTTTCTTTTTTTTTTTTTTTTTCTTTCATATATAATCACGTTAGATTAATAAAAATACTGAATCATCATTCTATCTTAAAGATTAAAACTAATTGGAGCGTCAAAATGTTTGGTTCGATAAAACAAGCATCCTTTTAAAAGTTTCTATTTTTTTTTTTATTTTTTTATTTTTTTATTTTTTTTTTTTTTTTGATTATACTCCACACGAACGATCATCTTTTCTAACATATAAGATAATACGTCAAGCGACAAAAAGCATCAATGTTCGATTCTTTCTTTGACTTTCATCGTGGTAACGGTATGAAACAGACAAATCGTAGAAGAAAAGTATCAACCGTCAAGATCGTTTTTATGACGATCCTCGTATATTTCCAGTTACTAAACTTTTTCTATATTTCTTTCTTTTTCATATCGTTATTGCCATTTCTTTGTATTAGTTCGTAGAAAATGCCGTAGGGAACAAAAGGAGACATATTTCTTATATCTGTTTGTACGAAGAAACGATGACATTACTGTAATAAATATTTGTAATCCATTACATTTAAATTCAATATTAAATATTAATAGAATATAATAATTCTTTTCAATTTAATTAATTCGTTTAATAAACGTATAATTGTCATTAATCATACGACATATGTAATTAACCACTTTGTCGGATATAAGTTCATTATAAAATTCACGATCTAACTCGTAAACTTAATTCTCTCTCGTCGCGTTATAATTATGTTATTTCGAGTATTGTAATTAAAAAAAAAAAAAAAAAAAAAAAAAAAAAAAACCAAAAAAGAAATATAAGATATACGTTATTAAAGCGACGCAATAAAAACGTATGTAACATATTTAAAGTGCTCTTAAATTGTGATCGTTGCTGTAATTATACTCTACTCGCTAAATACATAGCGAGGATCGTGAATACGTATCCTCGAAAGTTGAACAACAGTCGGAAGATTGAAAGATTCAACGATGAAAAAATATTGTTGGCTAGGAAGCGGCAGAGCTTCAGAATATATATGACGACGAGTGAGGAACCTACAACACGCTACACATATCTATATACACATGCACACAACTCAAAGATATATATGCGCGCGCGTAGAGTTGTGCGTCGCGTTGGCTAGTGGACGATAGATGGGAATGGAGGGGGAAGGCTGGAGTGCGAGAGGCGCGTGGGGCTGCGCCGGGTCACGACTGTCACTTGTCAGTTGGCCACGAGCGCTCCTAGCGGGAAGTTTGTTTTTCTCGTTCGTGCGTGAGGCAAGTGAGAGTGCGTGTAGCCGGCTCCAAAAAAAAAAAGGGTTTTTTCAATTCCGCTCCTTTTTCTCTTTGATAATCCCTTTATTTCTCTCATTCTTTCTCTTCCACTATCTCTCCCTCTCTCTCTCTTTCTCTCTATCTTCCTCACTTTTATTAATACAAATCGATTTTGGTTTCGCGTAAAAGTAAACATTAATGTCATCGACGAAGAAGAGAGTTTCGGAAGACGCGTCGGCGCGTCTCGTCGCGTTGCTGTTGCCGTTTGATTTGCATTATCGTTCTTTCTCGACAACAACGAAAACGATTACGGAAACGATAATAATAAAGACAACGCCAAATTTTCGTCATCGTCATCATCGTCGTCGTATCGTTCGAATTGTAACGCGTCGTTCATTATCGTCATTGTCATTGTCGTCGTCGTCGTCATCGTTGTCTTACAGAAAGTGAATTTGGCGCGCTAGCTCTTTCTTAAACGTAAATATCATCAAATATTACGTAGCATTTCGGATTTACGATTACTCGAGTAATAAGAATCGTCGTTTTAGTCGTGCGAGCGTAAAAAATCGAGTTAAATCTCTTCCACTTGAATTTCTTTCCCCTCTTCGATCTTCACTTTCCTTCCCACACTTACTCTTCTAGCCCTCCCAGTGGATTACGTCGAGATCGGTGCTGATCCTGCAAAGAAGGAATCCATCGTTGGAGAGACCCAGTAAGTGAGAGAACATTCATACTTATTTTGGCGCGAATTTCATTCAGCCATGTTTTTTAGTTCGTCAAACCGTACGGCCATTTTCGACACACGATCGATATTAAATAAGCATAAGATGAAATTTATAGCGCAGCCGTTTTCGTTATTTCTTTTGATCGAATGCCATCGAACACATCGTAACCACATTTTTCTTTTCATACCTACCAGAATACGTTATAACGATCGATCGACGTTTACGTAATTTACTCGACGAACGAGTAGAAACATCAATTGCCTCTTTAACTTATTCGAATAATTTTTATTTCGAAAGATTAGAAAATATTACCTTACTTTTTCTTTCATAAGCACGATTCGATCGTACGACACGCCAAATGGCATTGACTTTAATTTATGCGCTTGGAACATACTATTTGTCTGCTTGGATTTGACGTGTACATTTCCGTTTTCTTATCTTCTTTCTTTTTTTTTCTTTTTATATATTCCTTTTTTCCTTTTTCTTCTTCATTTTTTTTTTCTTTCTTTTTTGTCCTCTATAAACGCCACCGTATATACCGTACGATGGTTGTCACGCGACGTTATCATCCGTTAAAGTTCCCTGCAAGCACATAATTTTTGTTAATGCGACGAATCCCCTATTTTCGTATATAACTTTTCATTTAATCTACGCATTCGCGTGATCATTAATCATTCATTCAATCTTTTGAACGCGTATTCGTATACACGTATAGTATATATAAATAAAATACTATTTTACTTATATATAATTCTATAAAATTCAGAACTTAAGAAGTTATTTGTGATTACGTATATATTAAAAAAAAAAAAAAAAAGAAGGTTGTTAATCAATCTAGACTTCCTATCTGAACAAAAAAAACATTGTATAATTATACTGATTTAGGAGTAAAACTTTTTTTTTGAAATGATATATTCTTTTTTGGTATTTCTTTTTTTTTTTTTTGTTTTTTTTCTTTTTTTTTTTTTTTTATACACGAACGTATATCATTTAATCCTATCCGAAATATTATTTCTTAAAAATCTCGTGGAATTCGAATAAATTATAAGAGAGAAAAAAAAAAAAGAAAAGAAAGAAAGAAGAAAAAAAAACGTGTACGTTAGTATATAACAAGTAGAGATTTCAGATGACAATAATTGTTTTTACTCGGTTTATGTAAACGAAAGCCGAGAGAACGACCGATTAGAAAGTTTTATCTCTTGGAAAGCGTTAAAACGGAAGAAAATCGCGAATTGTCTCGCCGCGCAGACTGGCTCGTAACCCGATCTAAGAACGTAAATTCTCTGTCTCATTCTATCTAATGTCCCGCATGATCTTCAAGAGACGTAGTGTCGCGCGCGCGCATGCTAAATTCTAAAAAGTAAAAAAAAGTCTTGTTGCAAGTCGGCATTTCGTCTAGACACGAAGCAGCCGTCTCATTCGAGTGTTGTTGCCTACTGGCATCGCTTAAATTAGCGGTCCAATTAACGCTCTTTCGAGCGTGCCGCACGCATCGTGCCAGATACAGGTTTGCGAATACCTTATCGATACTAATTATCGATAACTCGTACGAGAATGAGAACGTTATCATCGCATTGTCACGACTATACCTACCTCGTGTTATTCATTCCGATGCGAATTTCATATAATCTCTACGTAGATCAAAGCTCTTATACGAACGTCCATACTTGGAGATAGGTAATCAATTTATTTTTATAAAACAATATAGATATAAACTATTATTCTCTGTTAACGGACAATAATAATATTATCGTTTAGAAAAATTAATTAAATAATACGATATTTTGTTAATACATTTGACTTTTTTGTTTTTTTTTTCTCTCTTTTTTCTTCATTTTGATATAAACATTATATGTATATTACGGACGCGAATAAATAATTGAAGTATTGTTAAATTGGAATACCTGAGAAAGAGTTATCATTAGCGAAACTTGTTGTTTGTTATTATTGTTGTTATAATAAAACCAAACAAACGACGTAGTTGTATTCTTGTCTTATTTGTAAAATCCTTTTCCTAACGAATGTATACTCGCAAAAGTATCAAGTGTTATATAATATAACGATTATATTCAAATGTTGTTCAATGTATTATACTTGAAAAAAGGAAGACTTTTAACGTTTCAACAATTCCCGCAGAAAAATGTCCAACGATAAATATTGTTTTCGTGATATAGATCGGATTAGCGAGTTCGAAATGGAATTCATTGCGATTGAAGTTTGGACAGGAAAGTGAACGACGTAGTCATCGTCCTGGCGCCATTCGAGTAATCAACGAAATAGTCGTTCAAAGCATTGATTCGAATGGCTGCAAGCGTGTCAGCCATCTTCTTTCTTTTTTTCGTCTTTAGCGTGTAGTT